TAAAAATAAGAAAAGTTACCATTATTTGTAAATGTTCATTATAGAAAGTAATAGATTTTTATCATCGATTTACTTCACTGATCGATATCTTCATACACACAAACTGCTGACATTCCAACGTGGTGACATTAGCATTTTTCATTCTTCTAACGAATTCAAACCAGAAAAATTTAAAATTTTAGTTTTCACGTATGATGTTCTCAATCTTTTTAGAAAAGAATGATTTCAACCAGCTTCGATTATTATTCAAAATGATCTGTGAAATTGATGGTCGTTGCTTTCCCAAGTAGTTTACAAAGGTTGCTATAGCTGTAGACACTAGGCATCGAATACATTAAAGTTAATAAGATTTTAGCCGGTGTTCAAAGTCGTGTCACCAAGCGACCAACTAGGTGATAGACCAAGTTTGATTGACCTTGAAAAGCACATTAATCGATAAAAGTAATAGTCAGCAATGTAAAAATGCTTCAGTCTTGTAATAAAAATATATTTGTAAACTGAATGGATAAAATACCAAGCGCTTTGCACATCAAATGCACACTGCTACAAAACTCAGTCAGTATATGAAAATAATGTGGTTCTCTGTTTCCCGTTAGATGATAAAAACAATTTTGAAGGAACCCTGATTCCAAACGATTGTATTATCACTGCTTTGATATCCTTGTTGACCACGCAGCTTAGAGTTGACTGGGAGTTGAAAATTAAACCGTACTTGAAGAAGGCAGTTTGAAGACGAAGTTCTGTCGAAATATATGGTGGAACGAAACTAAATTACCAACAAAATATGAGCACTGTATATGTTGTATTACTGGCATTAACAATGAATCGACTTTGAAGCTAGCTATTTCGCATAACCTTTCGTTTGATTCATTTTCATCCCGCCTGAATATGATGTTCATACCACTACAGCTTTGGGAAGGTTTCTTGTACCTTGTGAAGATCCTTTTAGATGGCTTTCAGGTAAATTTCGACAGCTGAGACTGAAAGGCAAGGTTTAACAGTTATACATTTCACTGACAGTTGCCTAAATTGACTGAATGTCCTCAGCCTAAATCATAAGGTAATACGATTAGAGACGAAGTGGTTATCTTAAGAATAAAACTTGAACACTGTATTAGAGTATAATTCCATATTAGATTTAGGGATACAGTGTTATTTACTTGATGACGTTTCGAGCACAAATTATTGCTCATAATCGTACCAATCATGAGTAAACAAATTTAGACATCCAATTTTTATAGTCCTATCAACCTACATTCTTTGTTTTTATAGGTGGTATGTGCTGCGTCATTCCTATAACGTATGTTGGGTAGTGATTCAGTAATCAGTCACTCCCTCAACCCAATTACATTTGGCTTAACTACAACAGTTTCACCCTACCCTATTATGTGGTTGTGTGTTGATAGGTGCATTGTAACAGCCAAAATATTTTCCAGATTATTGATCTTATTGGGGTCTGTCATTCTACATTTAGTTAAATTCATATGTTCTGCTAATCTAACTGACCCCAACCGGAACTTGATAGATTAGCTTAATTTGTTTCCTTAGCTTTGCAAGAAATTTTAGCTTACAGAGTTTCTCTGTGAGCGACTTTGTGAGTTAAAATGCCACATTAATCCCGGCATTGTTCAGAATTCTATGGAACACTTCCGATGTATCTACTTTATATGACCACAATGCAGAAGATTTGAATTCCCTCTTAGGCATGTTGGAATCACCACTAACATTACCACTCCTTCTCTTATCAGTCATTATAAACCTTTTAATAAATTCTGGAGTAGTAGTACCACTTTGATGTGCTTCATTTCTTTATTTAGATTTTCTGATTTACCAGTCAAACGCCTAGCCTGCTTACTTAGACATTTTATCAAGCCTACGCTGACAGATATAGGGTGAGATGATGTGAAATCCAAGTACCAAATCTAATGTATCGGTCCCCTATAAACACTAGTATTTAAGCTTTCATCTTCTTTCCTCTTAACTCTAAACAATGGTGGGATTAGATGGTAGTTAAATCCACAAACTCGCTCAGAGTAAAAATGTTTGGGCTAAAAGGTCTAGTAAAGGTAACTCAGAAAATTAAACTAATCTATCAAATTCCATGCAATGATTGAAAGGTCTAGTATATAAGGAAAAGCAGCCAACCGGGGTTAGTCAGAATAACAGAGCACAACAATTTAGCCAAACAGACTGATAGATTCTGCTGAAATGAGTAATTTAGAGAAAATCTCAGCCATGGTCCTTCATGCACTGAGCCATAATCACACTTTAGATTGGTGAGATAGGGTAACAATTCATGCATGTCACAGGAATGACTTGTTATACATTTTAGATATTTGGTAAATTTTCCTACCATAAAAATAAAGCCCTGACTAGGCAGCCAGTGTGAATACAATCAAGCGGTAGTAACGCGTCATGAATTCATATGGTAGTCGGGCAAAACCCTTGGTGATTGAATGCGACGTAAAATTCTGGTCAGCAGTTGGACCTCGTAGGTCAGTTGGTAGAGCACCTGGCCAGTAACCTAGTGGTCGTTGGTCCGCAACCGGCCGCGGTCCAAATTTCGTTCTAACCTTCAGTCACCACCCAGTATCAATACTGGTCTGCCAAACTACGTCATCCTCTCTAAATCCCTTGTTTTTGACCTCATCATTAAACATGGTGGTCTGCCTACACCTTAGGCTACCATAGAATATAATACATCAAGTTGCTCCCATCCAAGTTATTTCAGTCTTTAAAATTTGCTTGCTAAAGGTATCGTGCATTCTGGTACATCTTCAAAATGTTTTCCTTCTGGCATTCTGCAAGTTTATGATTAAATGTAGAAGAAAAAGTGTCACAGTAGATAGCAATGGGCTTTTAAACGAACAGCACTTCATCATATTATCATTTGCTAAAGGACTTCATTTTTGAACTGTAGATTTTTTTACTGGACTCTATTCTGTTCATTCCCCCTTTCAGATCAGACGATAATCTAACAACAGCTGATTGTTTCATATCACTACCTGTAATACTATTGTTACTAACAATAATGAGATGCTATATATATATATATATATATATATATATATATATATATATATATATATATATATATATATATATATATCCCTTCTGAAAACATTGTGTAGAGAGTAAATTAGCTGGAATATTACATACCGAGAATTCCATGCTATGTAGCAGCTACCGGTGGAGCTATGGTCATCGAGTGGTGTCCGTCAAGGGTGCCCACTGTCTCCATTCTTACTCAATTTCATCATAGATACTCTTATGGAGGTCTCCCTCTCGTCACCTGATTACACAGACGTTGACCAAATCGCAGGAGAATTTTTGTTAGACCTAGAATATGCAGATGATATAGTTCTGTTAGGTGAAGACGCTGACAAGATTCAGAGTCTTCTGAACACTTTGAGTAGCAATTTGAGAATGTTTGGGATGCGTTTCTCATCACCCAAATGAAAATTATTTCTCCAGGATTGGTCATGAATGGGGCTTCGGCTAACAATAGAGAGTGTAGTGGTTGAGTGTGTCAACTACTTCACGTACCTGGGAAGTAGGATCAGCCCTGGTGCATTGGTCAGTGGCCGATGAAATCTCTGCACAGATATAAAAGGTTCGGTTGACCTTTGCCAAATTACGCCAGCTATGACGCCGGCGCGATATCCGATTGCCTATTAAGGGTTGTGTGTACTTCACCTGCACAGCAGTCCTCTCTGTTCTACTGTATGGCTGTGAAACATGGCCATTGAAGGTGGAAGACATGAGAAGGCTGGCTTCAGGTGTTTGCCCACCGCTGTCTTCGTAGTATAGGCCATATTCCGTGGTGTCAGCATGTGAGTAATGCAGAAGTCAGGAGTATAGTTTCAGGGAGAAGAGGTAAGTCAGTTGACCCGATTGTGAACCTTCATCGACTGAGGTGGCTGGTGGGATATGTGTTACGTGTACCTAGTCGCCGATTGCCTCGTCCCACAATGTTGGTCGAAGTATGTCCAGGCTGGAAAAAAGCCTGAGGTGATCAGACTAAAACATGGCACCAATGTATGAAGGCTCTGACTTTTGGTTTGAGCCGTGTATGGAGGGCGATGCAGACTAGGTGGTTGGGGTCCGCGGGACAACAGAGACCAGTGGTTGGAGACTCTAGGGGGGGGAGGGGATATGGCTGAGAACCGATGTGAGTGGCGCAGATGTATACACACATTATCGTCATCTTAACGACGCTATAACGAACCTCACCATTTTCTCATTCCTCCTTTCTCTCTTTGAGTACTCTATATTTCTTTTGACTGAATTTTCTTATCTTCATCTTGCACCTCACTGCCTTTTTACTTGATGTAATGATGTGAGGTGTGGCACCTCGGACGGTTACGCAGTAATGCCTGGTCCTATGTTGATATTGATGGTGATTAGCGGTGGAATCCAGGACGCACGTTTCGTCTTATTTGGGACTCGCCAGCTATATGTGTTTGCTTCCCACTTGGACTCCAACTCGGGCGGATTGCTTCAAGTCCCAGAGCGTTATCCACAAGACCACTGACTCATGATAGACACTTCTTGTGCGCGGGTATAACCTTCTTATGTTGTTGCTTGTATTATCCCGTCGTTGACTGGACCGAGTTGATCGTCCTCTATTGGTATATAGGCTCCTGAGAGAATGCTGTATCGTGACACGGTGGTCTAGTAGATAACACTGGTGTTTAAAACAATAAGTCCTGATTTCGAGACCTAGCAAAAGCAACATCGCTAACTCGCAGGCAGGTACATCCAGTTGAAGAGTCCCAAATAGGAGGAGACGCGAGTCCTGGATTCCACTGCTAATTACTATCCATCAAATACAGGTAATATTGAGGCATCTGCACAGGAACCCATATGCCAATCAATTCGTCCACTCAGTGACGGGATAATACGAGCAACATTATGTCAAACATTGTCTTGAATATTGATCGTTATTATTACCATTATTATTACGAATTTATAATTATTTGATCTCATTTTTCTTGTAGATCTGCATGTTCAATACTCACAATACTTGTTGTAAATGCTACTGTTATTGATCTGTTTTTATACACCAAATGGTGCAGAAGAAATCAGGCCGAGATAAGTTACACTGGGATAAATCATATCCATGAAGAAAATTCAAATGAGAATCTAGGCACCAGTGAAGATAGCACCCAACGTTTAATTGAATCCGATGGGATTTTATATAATGAGAATCAAGTGAATAGTATACCGTCAGTTGGGGAAAAACACAACCAGACATTTTTGGAATATCGAAAATGTAAGTTACACTATTTATTGTGTATAGATGAGGTGAAGACAGCAGCAACTACTGAAACAACTAATTAGGTTTCTGAGCTCTGAGGAAGAGATATATGTCTAGCTGAAATATAGAAAACTATTTGGTTATTCCAGGGGTTCCAATGGTGACCTTAACAGCCACTCTGGAAACAGAACCTAGGGTGCATTCGAATTTGACTTGGCAATCTTCTAACAAGTAATCAGGCTGCATTTCCACATCATTTTCTAAACGTGGATACTTTTTGTGAAGTATTGGATGAAAATTGGGCACAAAGTGAGAATTTACAGAAATTATTAAAATTCAGTCTGTTAGATATCCACGAATCGGTCACCAGTGATAACTTATGCCTTGTTTTGAATGCTTAACCCTGAAGGAAGTCAATCGACAAAGTTTTTCAATGTGGCCGCTAAGCAAAGTGATGCTACACTGCAGTTCACTGTATTTTGATGACAGATGTCGGAAATCAGAAGGGTAGGAAGCCCTTAGCCCAGGTTTCACGCCTTTTGACACTCATCAGCAAGGTGGATCTACAGTCATAATGACATTATTGTTCCCTCAGCAGGTCTAACAGATGTCACAAGGGAGTCAGTCATAGTATGAACAGATTATTGGTTAGGTCTCTAACTTTAGCAATGAGTAACGTGGATTCAAAGCACCCAGGATGAATCATTTCCCTCTTATTTATAGACAAGTCCTGCTGAGGAGTGCAAACAAACATTAAACCTGGATGAAATAGGACATCCTGCCAACTGACTCCAAACATCTAACAACGACGTTAGATCAATATCCAAAAAACATTGGACGTTATCAAATGATTTTTAAATTTCCAATCTCTGTCTTCAAAACCAATGTCATTGGGTTGGTGAGATGTACAGCTGCGTATTACTCAACTGTGAAATGTTACCTTCGTTTTTAAACTTGTTCAGACCGTACACGGTGATCTACTGAGCACAGAGAATGATTTCAAGAATGAAAAGTGGAAGTAGTCATCTGTATGTACTACTGGTTTACATAAGTAGTCAAAACACTTCTGACTAGTTTTCAGCGCTTGATAGCCAACCAACAAAACAACTGGCTGAATTCCAGGTGATTTGAGCTATTCAGTTCATTGACTCATACAGACTCCATCAGAGGTTTTCTGAACCCTAAGTGTACATTACGCGTTTAGATTACTTTTATTTGAACAGCGTAATGAGAAGACGAAGATTATCTGAAACGTGATGTATTAGCGCTTTACATTTCGAACAATCTGATCACACATGCACTTGTCGAACTGTTTATGTGAAAATTTACCAAAAAGGTCAATAAAGTTAATAGGAAACATAGAAATAGGAAGGGATAGAAAAAAGGAAAACCTTACTCTTGGTATGAAAATTAAAATCAATACTACCAAAGTAGGTTCAACGTGAGTACAAATTGTTTTTGTATACATGAAGGGGGTTTAAATTTACGGATGGCAAGAGCTTCAATAAATTTAAGCACTTGGCTCTGACCACTTTTATATAGTACTTTAAAGGCTGTTTTCATGTCTATCCTATGGTTAGTTTCTAGTATATGTTTAGCGATAGACGAAGAAGGATGTTTGTCACCTGCACTTATCGGATCTGTTGAGGTCATTTGTTTTTGTAGCCACTTAGGTACATGTTCAACCTTCCTTAACTGCATATCACGATTACTCCTCCCTATATATGTGTGTCCACACATGTAAATTGATAAACACAGTGGGATGTGATGTAATCGTTTATATGTTGTTTCGGTTTGTGCTGTAACATGGACTTGGTCTTCTCTACAATGATGACCTTAGCTGCATAGTACTTTTTACAGATGGCCGATCTAAGTCTTTTCCTCACAACAAAGCTAAGTGAATCACCTCTAAATGGTAATGAGATGTAGACATTCGTCTTAGCAACGGAACAATGTGTACTTTTCAATGGTACATAACTTTTGCACCGGTCGATAAATCTCAACGGGTATCCATTGTGTCAGTGTTGTCGTCAGTAAGTTGGTTTCTTCCTCCCTGGTGTCATCGGTGCAGATGCGGTTTATCCTGTTGAATAATCATCTGACTAAACCACGTTTATATTGGACTGGGCAATAGCTATGGAAATTAAGATATTACCCTGTCCATGTAGGTTTGTTATAGATCGACCTCCTGATTGAGCCATCCTCCCGTCGACTGAGCAATATGTCTAGGAACGGTAGCTGGTTGTTCGTCTGTTGTTCACAAGTCAGGCTAATGTGATTTTGAGCCGTGTTCATTTTCTGTAGCAGGCACATTGCATCATCAGGCTTTTCACATATAATGACTATATCATCGATATATCTTTTATAAAGTGAAACCCTTCCGATGAGATCGTCAGCCATGTTTCTAACAAATGACATGTATACATCAGGTAGTAACGGTCCTAATGGACTACCCATCGCGACACCATCAATCTGTTGAAAGTGTTCACCCTCGAATATGAATTCAACTTTATCAGTGCATAATAACAATAAATCTTTTAAAAAATTAATAAGGATAGGGAATATAAGACTGTTAGAAGAAATATAGTCACATAAAATATCAATTGTTTTTACTAGAGGTACATTAGTAAATAAAGAATTTACATCGAACGAGTACACAGTCTTATCCTTGATATTAATATCGTTTAAACAGTCAATAAGGTCAAATGTATCTTTTAATGAGGACTTACATAAATGGCTTCTGACAGTACTCAAGAGCTTCGCCAACCATTTAGCTAGATTATGTGTGGGTGATCGACATATAAGCAATATTGGACGCAGTGGGTTGTCAGGTTTATCAGTTTTAGGTAACTCATATAGATGTGGATGTTCAGATCCCATAGGTTTTAGACGGTTAAATTAGTCTTTATTGATTAAATTCATGCCGAGCATTTTCACAAGTTTGGAATTTATTCTGCCCTCGAATTCACTTATTCATTCAGATGGGACATCTGACGTAAATTTGCTTTCATCACTGAGAATAGATAACACCTTACTTTTATAGTCAGACGCGTCCATAACGACCACACCTGATCCTTTATCGGATTTTAGTACGACGATATCAGAGTTATTTCGTAATCCTTTCAGTGCTTTGAAATGCTCACGCGTTAAGATGCTTTTCTGTCTTGGACCAGGATTATGAAACCCATGAGCGATGTCTACTAATTTAGCTCTTAGCCAGTTCTCATTATCTGGAGAAGTTGGGACAAGTGAGCTCAGTTGATCATACAGGTTTTCAAATTGAGCATCGGTTGTTAAATCAGAGTTTTGTGTTTGAAGGACAGAAAAACTGAACCCAAGAGAGAGAGCCTCTTTATCAAGAACGGATAACTGAACGGATGATAAATTTGTCACATAGTTGTCTGGGTTAACTGGGAATGAATTCACATGGTCGCTCGTAATCTGAGATTTGTTCAGCTTTGTCGTCATCTTTTGTTTTGCTTTTATTATAACCGAACTGCAAAAATTAACAAACTTGATGTGGCAAACTAAAGAAATTTCCGACAATACGGAAGATGCATGTACGTGATGTCCGATTAATTTGATAAGATTTTCACTACAATTCTCCACATGAGATTTCGAAATTCGAATAAGGTTTGAGATTTTGGTTGTAATTTGCTGGAACGTAAAGTTTTATAAAATTTTCAAGGAAACGTGTGATTAGAAATGCAAGATTTATAAAAGTCCAACTTCGTTCGTTCACATGCTATTTTACATTTGAGGCTAACCAATTCATCAAACCTTTTAACATTATGCTGAGGGAGCCTTCTTTTTAAAATAAATAGTTCGACAAGTGCATGTGTGATCAGATTGTTTGAAATGTATAGCGCTAATACATCACATGTTTCAGATAATCTTCGTCTTCTCACTACGCTGTTTAAATTTATCAGAGGGACCAGTTACTTTAAAATATACTTCTATTTGGTTGGCAAGTATTGCTGATTTGTCTGCTTCTTTTCTAGGTAATCATGTTGGTCAGAAGTAAATATATATCACTGTCATACTAAACATCAACACCAGTGCATGAGAGCTATTATTATTATTATTAGTCCCTTGGGTTCCTAATGGAACAGAGGGATTCACTAGCACGTCTCCAGTTAACTCTGTTCTCCGAAATCTTCTGAACCTGACTCCACGACAGCCCACAACCTCTCATTTCCTCCATGTCACCCTCACATCGGACACCCAACTCGTCGCTTCCCATCTGGGTTCCACTCGAGTGACTGGCCTGACGCGTGATGTCACCAGTCGGTCTTCTCAGTATATGCCCAATCCATCTCCACTTCCTTCCACTGCATATTTGTTGAGTGATAGGTTCTTGGTTGGTTCGTTCCCAGAGCTTCTTGTTGCTTATTCTTGTTATTCTGACCATCTGATCTTCAGTAGCGAGCGTAAACAATTGTTGATGAATGTCTGCAGTTTATTGGAAATCCCTTTCGTAAGACGCCAAGTCTCTCAACCATACAGAAGCACTGACTTGAAGTTGGTGTTGAAAATCCGTATCTTGTTCCACATGCTGAGTGCAGTGCAGAAGATCTCCACACTGATTTCAGGCTAATGAACGCCTGTCTTGCTTTTCCGATTCTGACTTTGACATCCTCGTCTGTCCCGCCTGTAGTTGAAACAGTGCTTCCTAGATAAGTGAAGGAGGTTACTTCCTTAAAGTTTCTCCCGTTGACGGTGATTGGAGCTTGTTGTTGTTGTTGTTGTTGGTGGTGGTGTTGGTTTGGTTGGGTATCTTCATCACCTCTGTCTTCTCTATATTCACCTGAAGTCCCGTCTTCGCTGCCCTGCATCTTCTGTCAACTTGTTAGTTTTCGCCTGTAGATCTTCAAGTTTATGTGACATCAGGCACAAGTCATCAGTGGCGAAATCCAAACCTTCTAGGTTCTTTTCCGCAGTCCAGCCAGCGTATCCCCCTCTTCTCACAGCTCCCCACTGTTTGCTGCATGAACCAGTCCAGTCGACCACAATCA